TCAAAAAAAAAAAAAAGAAAAAAAAAAGAAAGGCAGAGCGTTTTACATGAGATTATATGAAGCTGTATCATTAGCACATATACTTATGTGTAATTTATTTATATATGTAGGGTGAACATTTCTTAGAAATAAAACAAAATAAATGTTAATAACACGGTTTTGGTCTGACTGAATTCACACATCTCCTCATGAGTACTGATAGATCTGATGTATTTAAATGGTGTTTGGTGTCCTTTGACATGTTGGTAGGGTAATACTGATGTTAATAATTTTCATTCAATCTGTGGGTGTGTGGGGGTATTTGAATCACCACCTGTGGTACCTCTAAAGATGTGAAAAAAGGAGAGAAATTATGCAAGGAAATATGGCAATTTTAATGAAAATTAAACCCCACATGTAACTACCTCATAAGCGTTTCTGTTGAAAATATATATCAGCCGGGCTCGGTGGCTCAGCCTGTAATCCTGTGTCTTTGGGAGGTTGAGGTGAGTGGATTGCCTGAGCCTGTGGGTTCGAGAGCCGCCTGGGCAACTTGGCAAGACCTCATCTCTACAATAAATCAAAAAATCAGCCGGGTGTGGTAGCGTATGCCTGTAATTCCGGCTACTTGGAAGGCTGAGGCGGAAGGATCGCTGGAGCCCAGCAGGTCGAGGCTGCGGTGGCCGGGAGCAGCCACTGCACTCCAGTCTGGACGACGGAGTGAGACTCCAACTCAAAAAAAAAAAAAAAAAAGAAAATATATCAGGGTAGGAAAAAAAAGTTTACTTTTAAGCCTCTGGGTGTTTAATGGCCTGGAGTAAAACTGTATACAAAGTAAAAGCTTTCTACTCGACCATAAGGTTTCTCTCCATAATGAATCTTGGCTTCTAGAACAAAAAGGAATATATATATCTGGAGGCTGAGTGTGATGGCTCATGCCTATAAAGTAAGCTCTTTGGGAGGCCGAGGCAGGAGGCTCACTGGAGGCCAGGAGTTTGAAACCAGCCTGGACAATATAGTGGGACTCTTTCTCTATGAAAAAATTTTAAAAATAGCCAAGCATGGTGGCACACTCCTATAGTCCCAGCTTCTCTGGAGGCTGAGGTGGGAGGATTGCTTGAGCCTAGGAATTGGAGGCTGCAGTGAGCTATGATCGCACACACCATTGCACTTTAGCCTGGGTGACAGAGTGAGCCCCTATCTCTAAAAAAACACCAAAACTATAACTAATCTATATCTAATCTATATCTATTATCTGTATCCATGAATTGACCTGAGCTAACCTCAGCTGTGAGCAATGCAACCTTGTGTGATGCTTCCCTGAAGACATTTCACCCACAAGGAAAACACATAATTTGCTAAAATATTTGGAAGGTGTTAAAAATAGAGTCCAAGCATTTGACACCAGTTGAATCTGGTAGCTTATCTGATCACAGTGACAGCCTTGGAGACTGTGATGTGAGACACACTTGCTCACATACACGGTGTGTCCATGCATCGTGATGACACTGGGTCACGATGTCTTATCTGACACTTGGTCAGATAAGGATACATCTGGCGTGTGGATTCGCCAGTGTAGACCTGCCTTCTGCCTCTGTGGATCCAATGGCCTTGCTCGCTCCTGGGGGTCCTTCCAACTCTCCCCTCACCTCCTTCCTCACTGCACTCCATGGGCCTCCCCGGGCCAGCCTGCTGCCTCCTCTCTCCCTTTGCAACTTGCTCACACGCTTCTGTCCCACTGCCACCTTCTCTGCAGACCGTGTCTTCCCCAAAGCTCCTTCATGGGCAGCCTTGCTCACATCCGGCAATCCCGAATCCCACTCTTTCTTCAAGACCCGACTTGGACTCTAGCTTCTCCTAGCTGTCTGCCCAGATGGCTCAGTTTGAAATGACGTCTACCCCTTTTGAGCACGCACAGTGGCCCATGACCCCTAAGGCGGCATTGAGGCATTGGTCACGGCCACTTTTTACTGTAGCCACGTAAGCACACATTAAAGATGAGAACTTCTTAAGGGAGCAGGGAGCGAGTGCTCGTGTGTCTCTGCCTACTGTGGACAAGTCATGGGCCGAAATGGTGGCAGACAGAATGCGTACTGGTTGAATGAGTGAATCAATGCACGTTTACACCAGTATTTATTAAGCAAGTGCTACGGGCCAGGCCTGGTTTTTAGATGCTGAGGTGACAGCAGTGAAC